GACAAGGGATTAGGCAAATCACCATATTATGATCATCCTGGATTAAGCTCCCTGGGACTGCACAGAATTGAAGTTGATTCATTCATTATTACCTGTTCATTATTAGCAATAATTCCATAGATGATTTGTATGTCCGTGCACTACAGATTCTAAATTTTGTCTCTCTACGTTCCTTGTCAAAAATTTTATTGGTTTTAAATATGACAGCAGAGCAGTGGTGGGCGCCGGGGGTTATATTCACGAGCACCTCAACAGATATTTACGTATTAATAAAATATAATTAGTATTATGTAAAATACATCTCTATGTACGTTTGGGACAATGTGACAAAATGCGTGTCAATTTATATCTGGAATAATATAACACGTTTGGGGAAAAGTGATGTTCAGGAAACGGTAAGGAGCTGGATAATTGTTACATGGGATTATAACATGTGAGAAGGCTGTGGCATTTGTGTGGAAAACATGTCACGTGAAAAGGTTTGTACAATAGATTAGAAAATGGCCCAATTACACACTTCATTTAAATGTGGTTTTAAGATCATGACTATTCTGGACCTGGTTTTTGACAATTTCAGTCTATAAGCAAAAAAGCTACTTAAAAATATTATTTTAGGTTCTATTTACTAAACAGCAAACTGTGGAGATCTGACCCCCTCGCTTACGGTTTCTTCCTTATTTCGTGGTGGAACAATCTTATGTTGTTGGGTCGGAGACTATCTGCTAAATTGTTTAGACCTCTAGAGGAATATGTCCTGTCATAAAGTAATAAAGACACAATAGGAGTTTAGAGTAATAAAGAGGAATTTCAAACCAATTCCAACATTTTATATAAGTATTTAAAACAGAAAAAGTGTTTTAAAAGAAAACCTGAGTTTCCTATAATCTTGTCTCTTCCTCTTTTTCTAGGGTTTCTGTATGCTTTATTTAACTGTCATTTTGTTTTGACTGTTTTTCTTATGTTTGTGATCCAGTTAACTCTCTCCAGTCGTTAGATACATTGTTTCAATTCAATTATGCAAGCCACTTGCTTATCCTGTTAGGGATACAAATACGCTTATTCCATTAAAAGGTAAGCAAGGTTTATCGTTGTGTTATATTACACAAACGCTGTTTCTTCTCTGTAGCTAAGAGAGTTTTTATTTAATTAAGCCGTTAATTTATCGGAATGTGCTGGTGCTTAATTTTGTTTTTCTTGCTGTAAATTTTATTCAGTACTTTCATTTGATTCTTTCTACAACTTTAGCGTCTGTGCTCTCTCCTTTCCATAGCTTACTTTCAACCTACTGCTTGAAAAGATGCCTGAGTGACACCTAGTGGTCACAGGAAATTGGTACATTCAAAATGGTGTATAAACTAAAGAGAAATGTTTAACTTCTTGTCAAATCCTATTTGTATTATTGTTCATCATTTGCAAATGAGAAGCTTAATCAAATGCATTTAAAGTCTTCTTTCCCCAAAGGAAACTTAAACAGAACTAGAGGAAACCGGAGTTATCATTTACACAGTTATGGTGCAAATATACTCAGTGCGGGTGTATAGATATGTATCAAAGAGGTCTAAAGCCATGAAACTCACAGTAATGTGCTGTATGTATCACGGAGCTCAGTGTATCACGGAGCTCAGTGTATCACAGAGCTCAATGGCAATAAAACCCACAGCATTGTACAATGGCTAGCCGAGCTCAACAACAGTTAAGCCAAAATACTGTGCAGTATGTACAATTGTACCAACGAGATTTACAGTAATAACACACTAAGCAATGTGTATGATACTATAACAGAGATAAATAACAATAAAATACTCAGTAATGCACACTGTGAATAAAAAAACGTCATACCGGATATCTTGCAAATGTGAGGCCAGTACTAAGATTTAAGAAATGAGAAGCATTAAAAGGCAAGTGCTTGACTCCTTTTATCTCCCCCTCATATTTTTATAAATTATGGTCAAATTGATAAGAAGTATTTAAATGGAAATAGTTGAAATTTTATTTTAAATTGTGTTATTTTAGTTATTCATGAAATTGCTGTTTAACCCATGCATATGGAATGTTTTGTGGAACATTTAAAATAAATGTTGTGCTGTTTTTTATACTCTTTATAGATAAATTATGTTTCATGCCATCATTATCATGAACTTTCACAGATGGCTTTTTTAAAGCTATCATTATGTGGTATGGAGTCGGGACTGGCGGGCTGACCTTAAAGCTGGCATCACCAGTGCCGCAACTTGCACCACTGGTAACACCTATATAATGTACGTGCCTGCATGAAAGTGGGCTTGTCCACTCGCTGAAGGAGCACATTAGCCTGGCATCAATATGTCAGTCTGGCAGGTAGTCTCCTGGCCGACCCCCATCATACAGAACCATGCATTAAGCACTGCTGAAGCGGTCACTGCATAGCCCTTGTGCGTACTGCACAGCGTGCAAAAAAAAAAATACAGGAAAAACACATGCATTTTTTTTGTTGGGGGTTTATCTACTAAATAATTTTTAAAAACTATGGAGTGTTCCTTTAAACAGTCAAGCACAAACATTTTTATAGTGATTAAGAGAAATTAAAAGAGGAATTACAACTTTTTCCATTATTTTATAAATATATTTCAAACAGAAAAGCTGTTTTAAATAGGAAGCCTTATTTTCATATAATTCTGCTGCTTCCTCTTTTTATTTTATTCTTACTTTATTTTTTTACTTTCGTCTGTTTTTCTTTCATTTTGGATCAGTTAAGTCTCTCCAATCTCCATGTATGTTGTTTTGATGTAATTGATCAGTAATTTGCTTATCCTGTTAGTCCCTTAGTACTCTAAGCAAGCTTAGCAGCATGTTCTGATTATTGAACCTATTCTATGACATTCCAGATTCCAATGTGATATAGGATCTTTAAAAGCTGATTTATTATAATGGATTTATTACGTCACTGGTTGTTAATGAGTTAAATGAAAATGACTTGGTATTGAAGGAGTTGGTCCACAGATCACTATAAGTTTTGCAGAGAAGAGGAAACGGCAGACTGATCTAGAAAATCACTTTCCTGAATGTTTTATTAAGCTTTTTATGAGGCATTTAATAGATCATTTGTTAAAGAGAATTGTCATGTTGGTGATAGTAACAGTTTCTCCTTCCTTCAGGACATTACATGATTCTGAAGCATTACACAGGGGCTAGGCATGGACTGGAGGTAAGTATAAAGTACACTTATCCTATCCTGCGTTTACATTGGATCAGTGGCTCAATTTTCCCAAGATCCTCTGTCAGTCGATGCATTGGATTCCAGTTAGATATAGGGTTCAATTTAAAATTCTGGTGTTTGCTTACAAGTCCCTACATAATGCTGCTCCAACCTACCTATCCTCCCTAATACACAAGTATGTCCCGTTGAGGCCCCTATGCTCTGCCAAAGACCTATGTATATCCTCTGTCTGTATTCCCACCTCCAAGATTTCTCCAGGGCTGCACCTTTTCTCTGGAACTCCCTTCCCTTCTCCATAAGACTTTCACCCAGTCTCCACTCATTCAAAACCCTTTGTGTCACTATACCCCACTCCCTCTAGAATGTAAACTCATTGAGCAGAGCCCTCCACCTCTCTATTCCTGTACGTCCAGTTGTCTGGTTACAATTACATGTCTGTTAGTCCACCCATTGTATAGCGCTATGGAATCTGATGGTGCTATATAAATAATATAAATAATAAAATAATAATAATGAACTTCATAATTTTTCTATGGTCCATTTAGTGCACACAAGGAGGGATTGAATGGCAGATGCAACTTTGCATTCATTACCAATACAATTTTTTTTTTAAAGAAAATGAAAATATAGTTTAAAAAAAAAGAAAGAATAACAAATTCCTGCTTTGCACAGACCTCCAAATATACTTCAATTACAGCAAATCCTCAGAACCTGTAGCTTCTGCAAAGGCACCTACAGAAACTAGATTGTTCATCCAATCCTGGTGCTTCCATTGATGTTAATGAGAGCCCGGTACATAGCCCATAAAATACATGGTGGTCCCTATTGGCTTCCATTCAGTCACATGAGTGCAGCTTATAAAACATTAACGGCACGTGCATGTTCTCATACAATAGGGATGTCAGCAGAACATCTTTATTTTTACTTTATTTGTTCTCACTCTTCCTCTTGGAAATAGAGACAGTGAAAAAAAGGACGGAACCAGGTGGAAATTGCTTTTAACTTTTTTTTGTGCCAGAATTAAACATCTGACATGATGAAAAACAATGAAAAAAAACATGATTTTTGCATGATGCATCACATCCATTACTGTACCATTAGGACCTGAATTATCCATTTAACATGCTGCTACATAATCTTCTAGAGCATTCATTGGGAATGGCTAGTTGCCATCACATAATTTGTTTAAGGAAAACTAAAGGCTCGAAAAACATTGATATAGATTTTTTGGAAGCTTCTCAGTCATTTCTTATTCAGAAGTTTTTTTCCACACATTTTGGCAAATAATATATACACTATGATGGAAAGTTCAGAAGGAAGTTTTTATTTCAGAAACAGTTTCCAACATAATGATTTTTTTTACAGAACACTACAGCTAACATTAAAACTAATAGAATATGTCTCATTTTGATTTGAAACTAAAGTATTAATACAATAATTTAAAGGTTAAATTTAGATAACTAGTTCCTGCTAGCAGGGTCGAATTTCTTATTAGGCAGAATAGGCACCTGCCTACAGGCATCTGTCCAGTTGGGACCAACTTTTTTTAGGGCACTTATTTGCCTTTTTTGGAGCTTGGTTGGGACAGTGGGGGGAGATAAGTACCAGGATCCTTGGTCAGTTTCTTCTGTAGTCTCTCTTTGATACACTGGATAGCAGAGCTGCAGGAACAGTTATATAGGGTGTTATAGGTCCTCCTTCAGGCTATATGAGGCTAGACAGGAAGTGGAAGGTATCACTTCCCATCTGTCCACTAACAGGAATCTCCCCTATCACACAGGAAATACCTTGCAGGAGGAGTGATGCACATTGTTAACAGCTCCTGCAGTACTTCTATCAATCATAAAAGAGTGCATACATTGCATATAACCCTTCAAACTACTCATGTCTGAATCCTAAACACCCTTTTTCCATAATCCCCCAGATGTTTATTCCTCCCTATAAAGTACAGAGATACTTGTACAGTAAAGAGAGCTGTGCATACAATAAAAACAAGCTGGGCACAATTTAAGGATACAATACAGAGATAACCACAAACAGAAAAAAATAGTTATATAATACACATAGCTGGGCACAACACAAAGATACCTATACAATACACTGGGTAGACTACAGAGATACCAAGACAACAGGCAGAGCTGAGTAAAATACAAATAATTAACACAGAGAGCTGGGCACAATAAGGAGATACTCATAACTATCCCACACAACCAGGATCACTGTGATGGATTACACAAAGCTGCAATACAGAGATCCCCACAGTATATGTCTCTGTATAGTGTTTCGGCTCTCTCTCTGTTTCTGTCTTCTTTCCCTCTCATACTCTCATCTTCAGTAATGCTCATGCTATGATTACTTTAGCTTTTTTTTTTAAATATTGCTGCTTTTATGAAGCATGTCAGCTACTCCATTAGCTCTCAGCACACAGTGTACACAGGTTCAAAGCATCCAACCATCTCACCTACTCCTGACTCACTATTGGCTCTCAACACATGGTCACACAGGGTTAAAGCAGCAGGTACTGATAGACTCCTTATTACTTTTGGCAATATAATTAATCTGCAGTGGTAATATGGAGCCAAGAAGTAGCTGACATGGATAACAGAAGCAACAATCATTACAGATTAAAACATATTGAAACCAGAATCAGATTAGTCCTTAGAGTCACAGTCCCAGTCCTCCAGTTTGAAGCTTCACAAATTAACTAGCCACAGCCTGAGTGTCTCAGGTCTCAGCTGTAGAGTGACTGAGCACTTTAAAGGGACACTATAGTCACCTGAACAACTACAGCTTAATGTAGTTGTTCAGGTGAGATCTATAGCTCCCTGCAGGCAATCTAATGTAAACACTGTATTTTCAGAAAAAATACAGTGTTTACATTGATTGATAGGAATACCTCCAGTGGCCATCACTCAGATGGCCACCAGAGGGACTTCCTATCATGCAGGGCCCTAAGAGCTGTTGTGGTGTTGTCCCTGTACAATTTTCAAGATAGCTTCTTGCTTCTCTCTCCTGTGGGCACTGCAACCCCACGTCTGGTGCTGTCAGACAATGATGGCCCCTGCATAGAGAGGCCTCCACTTACGGGCAACTGGCTCTGCTGCCCAAACGGCAACTCAATGGAGATAATGGAAATTCCTTCTAAATGAACAATGTGCACAAGCTGCTAAATAAGAGCAGGTTTCAAACCTGCCCCATTGTTTGACATGTCTACATACTCTCAAGTAATTTCTCAGCTACCAATGAGGGGAGAGTGGACCAGTAAAACTAAAACCTATTACAGAACTAAAGATACACTATTTTTTCCCCATATTGTTTTGGGGAAAAAATTATGTAGAGTCTTAGTCTTTCCAAACTACTGCAAATACATCCCCAACATAAAAACAGGTGGGGTTCTGCCCCAAGTGCCCCTATGGACGAGCCACTACTGATTTTAATCCTTTTAACACTAAACAACCAATGTAATCTAACTCTGACATTAAACCCTCTTTAAACCCCCACTTTGCCCTAACCACTTATAACATTATCTTTTACCCAGCATGCATTTAGACAGCTGTATGCACTCACTACATTCACACATTCAAACACATTACATTACAGCCAGAAATATGCACATGCATATATGTGCAGTTGTCAAACTTGAATATATGTGTTTTAGACATCTTTACGTCTGCAATGTCCAGTTAAAACCTTTGTTAAACTCACTTTATCTGCTTTTTTTTTGAGGTGGCAGAGGAGATGTGCCTTAGGTAGGTCTTTCCTTTTTTTGTATTGTATATCTTTAGTAGATCCCGACCAGAAGTAGTTTAATTCTTTAAAACAGTAGCACACCTTCTATTTCAAGCTAATTGTTTCCACCTGGATTAGATTCCAGCCATCATTGAGGTATTTAAATAGTGGGCACTGCAGATGGAGTAAATTTTCTCTCACTAAGATTTGGGTTTGCTTTTACAATATGTTTTCTGTATTTTATATCTTTTTTTACTAATTTGCTGTTAATATTAGAAGTGCAAAGATGACAGGATGAGAATTGATACCAGTTTGTATGAGATGCTTTGTATTTTCTTGTAGAATTTCAGCTCAGTTCACATCGGAAGAATACAAGCTATATTTGGAATGAAAGGAAATTATTATTAAGTGAAATCTATTGTACATTACATGTTCTCATGTCCAGTAACTTTGTCAATAAAGGAAATCCAAACGCTGTTCTTTTATTTTTTTAAGTATTAATGCCAGGGATTGAAAAAATAAACATGAGGTTATCTGGGAATATAGCATTACGAATTCCAGTTTAAAGTAGGTCTGTCACGTCTGTGTTTTTTGTTTTTCTAGAAAAAATACACACAAAAGCAATTTATTAAGCTATCCATCCATCCATTACACAAACAGAGCAAACCTGGTTTCTATGCACTTGAATTCTAAACTAAAACTAATCACATAAATACAAAACAGCAGGAAAGGTAATGAAAAAAAAATTAAATGGACTAAAATGAGAGGTTGTTGCAGAAGGGAAAAGGTCCCATCAAAGAGTCAATGTCTTCTAGGATATGGGATGGCCTTCAGTAGTTTTGTTGTCTAGGGGTATGATGTTCCAGAGCTTGACACATCCACTTCTTTTTGCTTCCTTGAATCATTTCTTGACCCTGATCTTGATAAACTAGGATGATGAGAGGGAACATTTAATGCTTACCTATCTAGTAGATAATGTGACACACTTTTATGGTGTGCTCTGAAGGCCAATTGACAGGGCTTGAGTGATGTTCACTGTTTAGGGAAAAGCCAAGCTAATTTCTTGCATTAGTCTAAGTTTCGGTCATATTTTCATTTCCCTGTAATGATGCTTGCACTTTTGTTAGTTCTGTGTAATTCTCGTGAATTACCACGCATGGTGGCAAGATATCTAACCATAGAACATCTCTAAAAAAGTGAATACGAAATGTTGCTAGTTAATTAGCCTAAAGTCTTCTAAGGAAACATTGTCAGCATTGCCATTCTGTTTGCCGGGGTGATAATGGATGATTATAGGGCTTGAGTGCCAACATAACAGCCTGGCTTTGTCCACAGCCACTGCTTTAGCCACACTAACAGGTTGTGATCCATAAGCAGGGTTAACTGTTGTTCATAGATGTAGGGCTGTAGCTTCTTCAGAGCCTACACCACAAAATGCATTCTTTTTCGATGGTGGCGTAGCTCACCTCTGCCAATTCAAACATAGAAGTGTCTGTGTGAATAAGAAAGGGTTTACTTGAATTAGAAGCTGCCAGGACAGGTGCATTTCCTAAAGTGCTCTTAAGTTGCCGGAAGGCTTGCTTACACTCCGGGGTCCAGGCCACTTGACAGGGCAGGTTTTTATGGGCTAAGTCTGTGAGTGGCTTCACGAGGGCACTATAGTTCAGGACAAACTTCCTATGGTTATCAAAAAATAAAAATAGATACAGCACTCATGGATTAAATGCGCAAAAATAGCTTTTATTTTGTATAGACTGTTACCACTAAAGGAACTATTAGTGAAAAAATCTTTGGTGAAAGAAAATAATCCTTCATACATAATGGGGATAAGGCACATCACTTCAAGCCCTGTAGGAGAACTACAAACATTATTTATAATGAATCCTTACCCAGTATCAATTGTATCAAACAGCAATTAGATATGTACATAAGACATCAAAAGTAACCTATAAGACTTTGTAAAGGTCGATCCACTAAGGAGTTCCTTCCTCTTCCATATGTATCACAAAACGTCCATGTATTTTAACAAAAGAAAAACAAGAAAAAGAAACATTTGAGAAAAAAAGAAAAAGAAAAACCACTGAAAGAAAAAATGTGTAAATGTTTTTATACACAATATAATAAGCACTAAAGCTTATGGGCAAAAAGCAAAAAAAGGAGAAAAAAAAGGGGAATTTTTTTCTGAGTACTCAACAAGAAGTATGTCAGAATGACATTCTGCTCCACCACCCGGTATGGATCCTGCCAGGTGGCCTGTTGCTTGTCATTTTGGATGGGCTTAAGCACCAAGACCTTTTGCTTGATTTGAATGCTGCGATCCCTGGCTCCGCGATAGTACCAAGTGCGCTGTCGTCCCTGGGCTGTCTGGAGGTTATCCTAATAGGAGTACCATCTTGGCTCACATCCTCCTCCCAGTGTTCTCTCACTAAGTCTAGGGGCCTACTCTTACTCTCCGACTGAACAATAGTTAAAATAGAGAGAATCCTGTAGATTCTTGAGGCACCTCCTGATACGCGAACAGGAGGTGCGGCAAGAATCTCTCGCAGACCCGGCTTCTGGCTACGAAGGTACGAAGCATGTGCTTCAACGTACCATTGAAGCGTTCGCACAAGCAGTTTGTCTGGGGATGGTACAGGTATCAGGCTTAATGCCACAGAGTTTACATAGCTGGTGAGTTACTTCGGCAGTGAACTGAGTGCCCTGATTGGAAATAATCTCCCTGGGAAATCCCATTTGAAAGAATACTTGCATCAGAGCCTCAGCCACGGTTTCCGTCTGAATGTTACTATGGCTTCGGGGTACCTGGTGGCGTAGTCCACTATGGTTAGGATGAATTTTCCCAGAGGGACTAGGCTTCACCAGGGGTCCTATTAGGTCTACGGCCACACTGTCCAAACAGTTCTATAATCATAGTAAGGGGATGGGGATTAGCCTTTCGGTCGTTTCCCGACTTTCTGACAAACATCACAAGTCTGGCAGTATTGCCGCAGATCTTTTGAGATGCCTGGCCAGAAAATAACTCTGGGTTAGACGGTGTTTAGTGTGGCTTACCCCTAAATTACCTGACAGGGGGATATCCTAGGTTATCCGTAATAATTCCTGCCAATATTTTGTGCGGGGGACTACCAACTGTTTGATGGTTGCCGGGAATTTCCCTGAACCTATTCTCTCGATTACCCTGTATAACAACCCCTCCTGCCAAATAAAAATGTTCCCCTCTAATCTTTTCTGACTAGATAATACCCTGTAACCATTGGCGGAACTACCGTAGTCACAGGGGTCG